ATTCAAGATTTGCATGGCGAGGTCCGTTGTAGATATTGCGCCCCCCGCCTAATACAGGCGTAGCATTTAGGACTTCAACCACTAAGAGGTCGCCTCCACTGGGAGCGGTTATGGGACGCACCACTGTTTGGACACGGAGCGCACCATTCTCGAACGGTCACGGTCCAGCTTGAAATGTTCAGTTCACGATTGGAGCCTCCGTGGATCGTCCAAGACGGGGCCAGCTTTCCCTCCAAACAAGATGCGAATGTGTCGTAGTTGTTTTAACGCGTGGTTCAGAGGAGAAAAACGTACCGCTACCGCTTCCCGTTCCTCATGGTTGCTTTTTTGAGCCTCATTGGAGGTCCTCGTCGCCACCGCTGGATTCGCCTTGGGATCCGAGTCAAAACACCCAGAAATAGGTCCGGGGAGTAGCGGTATTGGTAATTACGGCAACTGCCCATTGGATATAGGAAGCGCTCGTACGCATGCCCGTCACACGTTCAGGATCTGACAGAGATGGGTTGGTGATAACTACTCTCTGGGCCCCGCTTGAGGTTAGGGAATTCAGAAGACTGGAGTCGTCAGAACCTTGTATTCCTACGTACTTCACACAGGAGATGCCTGAACCAGCGAAACCAGCGATCGCAATTGCAAGAGGCAACGTAAGGTGCAACGTGACTTCAGGAGGGGCTCGCCAGGTACTGAGGGCGGCGCTGGACTGCCCCACCCCGCTCGTCAGGGTCCCGCCCGCCCGGTCCTCCCGACAGGGTCCCGCCGATCCGAGTCCCCCGCGGTATTTGGTCGTGGCCGTCATTCGGTGGTCATCAGTCGTCGATCGTCGCTGTCGTCATCGCAGCCGCCGCCGTCGTCGTCAAAGTCTTCGCTATGGTCGTATTCGTCGTCGTGTTCGTCGTCGTTTGCTGGCGCGCAAGCGGGGATGGGGGGATGTTCAAGTCAGGGCGGGGGGTACCAGTTACGGAGGAGGGGGCATTTTTTGGGTGGAGGGGGAGGGGTCCCTGTTTAAGCTTCTGCGAGTCACGTTCCCGTAACAGGCATTCGCGTAATTTGCGAGGCAGTCCAAGCGGCAGTTCTATGTGCAAAGCCACCCGCCCTCCATGTGGGAAGTGTTGAATGTGCACCAGCGTTGAGGACCGAGAGCACGGTGCCTGCGGCGGAGCGTCTGCCCCACCTTGCAGACTTTATCTGGTGGTGTGAGGTGGAAGATCTGTTCATATCGGAGGGCCCTCCTCCTCCTCCTCCTCCTCCCACTCCTCCCCCTCCTCCTCCTCCTCCTCCTCCTCCTCCTCCTCCTCCTCCTCCTCCTCCTCCTCCTCCTCCTCCTCCTCCTCCTCCTCCTACTCCCCCGCCCGCCACCAACTATACACCAACACCGATCCTGGCCCAGGATCACCCTGGGCCCAGGATCGGTGTATAAGTATATGCCTTCTTGCGCAAGGCAGGAGGGCGTATACACCGATCCTGGGCCCAGGCTGATCCTGGCCAGGATCGGTGTTGGTGTATAGTTGGTGCCTTCCTATCATAAGCAACATGCTTGGAGGAAGCGGGGAGGCAGTCAGGAAGAGGAAGCCGGAGATGGAGGATGACGAGGGCGAGGAAGAATCGCCATGACATCCAGCGAGTTTGAAGGGAATGGGTCCTAGAACATGGCGCTTGTCTCAAGGCCAGATCATCATTCTGAGCCGTTTTGTCGATGGTCCCGCAGCCCTGCGGAAGGCCCCAGTGGCCCCAGAGAGACGGTGTTTTAGAGCCCCATTCCGCCAGGAACCTCTTCCTCCGTGTCGACAGACGGGAGAGGGGAAGACGGGCTAGAGGAAGACGACGTCGGCGACGACGGACTAAGGTCCAACGACTCGGAGACGGGGTCCGGCTCCAACGGCGGCACAGGAGCGCGGGGAAAGCGCCACCCCTGACGAACGAACAGCACACACACACACACGCACACACACACGCACACACACACACACCCATACCCATAGGGGGGACGGAGGGCACATTGGGTGCGTGTTGTCGGATGGGGGTCCCCGCTCGAAATGAAGCCTCCCTGATGAGTCCGACAACACGATCAGATACCCATAGCCCATGGCCAATTCTCTTCCCTCCGACCCCCTATGGGTATGGCGTTGCATGGCACGGTGGAGCCTGTTCATTCTGATGGTGTTCGAGAAGGAGGAGGAGGACGAGGAGGAGGAGGAGGAGGAGGAGGAGGAGGAGGAGGAGGAGGAGGAGGAGGAGAGAGGAGGGAGTAGTGGAGGAGGATGGAGGAGGAGGGCTGTTGTGCAGTTGGTAGGGGTGGGATGAGGGAGAGGAGGAGGAGAAGGAGGAGGAGAGAAGGAGGAGCAGGCGGAGGAGGAGGAGGAGGAGGAGGAGTAGGAGAAGGAGGAGGAGGAGGAGGAGGAGGAAGATGAGGGAGTAGTAGGAGGAGGAGGAGGAGGGAGGAGGAGGAGGAGGAGGAGGAAGATGAGGGGGGAGTAGGAGGGGGAGTAAGAGTAAGAGTCCCAGGACAGTGTCCACAACTTCCAACCAACATAGGGATAGCCCCTCTGTGCTCGATTTACCGGATGAGCCGGAGGAGGAGGAGGAGGAGGAGGAGGAGGAGCGATCAAGTGGAGAAGGACGATCTGGAGGAGCGATCCAGTTGAGGATGCCTCCCCCCCGCCAGGAGCGGCGCCGCGGAGCGCCGGCTCCGGCTCGGGGCCCGCCGACCGGAGCTCCGCGGGGCAGGGGAGCGGCGGCGAGGAGGCGGCGTGCGCGTGAGGGCGGCCGCCGCGGCCTTGCGTATAGCCCGGGTCAGCGCTGACGGGGGTCAGTCGGAGCTGAAGCGACGGGGTTCACTGCAAGTGATGGGCCTTTCTTGCACCACCACCTCCACGATAAGTTGGAGGGAGGAAGGAGGTGGAGGAGGAGGAGGAGGAGGAGGAGGAGGAGGAGGAGGAAGACCCCCTCCCCCTCCAACTCATGGTGGTGGTGGTGGTGGAAAACAGGCCCATCAGCAAACGGGGGTCAGCCAGAGCGCCACACCTTGCGGGATCTTGCAGGGCCAGGGGTGCATTGGACCCGGGTCAGCGCGCAGGATCCCGCAGGGCCCTGCAGGATTTTGCAGGAGTTTGCAAGGCCCAGCTGGCCCGGGTTTGCCATGGACGCAGGTCAGTAAGTTACGTTCCCGAGTCAGGCAATCCATTCCTCGGTGCGATCATCGAAATCGATACAGAAAGAATGGGTACGAAGACCGACAGCAGTTCTCCTCCATCTCGAACAGGGCTCACCGTCGGCCCCGCCGCGGACGCGGCCCATTTGAGACAGAAGGCCGCCCGACAGCGGCAGCTGTCGGTTTGGGAAGACATGTTTTGCTGGGCATCGTAACCATGTTTTCCGTACCCCCTGCGGGCGTCCAAATTTCCGATCGTTTCGTGGTTGACCCGTGTTTGTCATGGTGTCCGGCCCTTAGCAGCCCCAAAAAGGTGGGCGGCCGAGAAGACAGGTGTGACCGAGCAGGTGCCCAGAGCCGTGACCGAAAGCGTAGTGTGACTGAGATTGGGACCGAAGTTAAGAATGGCATTGGCTTCAAATCAAACATTTTGGTCACACCAGGGCGCGGTCGAAAAAAATCCACCGCCATTTTCGGTCACATTTGGGCACAGTTTCGGTCACTACATCGCTCTGACAGAGAGTAACAGAGACGCGGACCCGCGAGGTGTGGGAGACACGTGGAGCCGACCCCGCCACCCCTCCCTCCAGTAATCCGGGTTTGGGAGCCACCTTGCGGCTTGCCGGGGCTCACGACGTGGCCTCGGTTGACCTGCGTTAGCCTTGACCTGGGTCAGTGCGTCCACGAGTGTGGAGCTGAGCGGCCGGTTAAGGGCGGTGCCAGCCCCTGGAGTAGTCACGTTTGCCCCGAGATCCGAGCGTCGCGATTTTTGTCACGACAGGCGTCTTCGCTGGGCTTCGGGCCCGGGGGCCCCCACATATCGGTCTGGCACGAAGGAAGGTCACAGAAAGATGGGGTCCAGGACTCCTGTCGTTGCTCGGCGGCGAGCGATGAGGGGGAAGTGAGAAGGTGCGGGCCTCAGAAGGCTTGGAAGTCCCCCGGCCTTCTGAGGAGTGTCCTAAGCCTTCCCCGAAGACAAAAACAAACCTCTCAGAAGGTCGGAAGCCTTCTGAGAAGCCCCGCCACCTTCTGAGAAGGTATTCTCCTTCTCATTTCCCCCCCTCGCGAGCCGCCGAGTCGCGTTGTTGTATTTTTTTTCTCGCGGCGTCGGATCGCAGGGCGGGGGGCCGGCTGGGGGGCTGAGGTGGCCCGGCACGGGGTCTCGGCCACAGCAGAAGAGGGGGGAGAAGGGGGATTTAGCTGGGCGCGGCTCGAGAAGCTGGTCGTGTTCGACCTTGGCGGGGGTCCAGGGGCCGATTTTGAGCGGATTTGCTCTCGTCTCCCCTTATTGGCCGATTATTTCTGCGCTTCTCTTGTGGGCAAGACTTTTGTCCATATCCACAGCGTCTTGGAGTGTCGGGAGGCGCCGTGGATATGGATAAAACAACTTCGCCCCTAGAAGTCATATGTTTATACATATCCACTGCGCCGCGGCCTGTCTGCGCCCCTTCCCAGAAAGTCCAAGACGCAGTGGATATGGATACACATCGTGCCCGCATATCTGGCTCAGCCCCCCGGCAGCCTCCAGCTCGCATATGGTTTTGTGCAAGCTAACATTCTTAATTCTATTCGGAGCTTGTGCTCCAAGTAACCGATGCAGCTTTTAGCGCTGAAGGGTCACATGCTATGGTGAAGGGTCCGTTGAGCTGGCTGAGGGCTTGGGCCCCAGTCTGTTGAGCCGCCAGATGGGGTTGAGGACCAGTGTGCCCGGCACCATTTGAGCCTCCCCACGCAGCCATTGTGACTGCAGTTGGACATTAGCTCATGCGCTGCTCTGGGCCTCCTCCCGACTGGCATGCCTGGTACCAACTTTAGCCTCCACACTAAGGTGTAGGAGGCCACGGTAGAATATTAACTTTTTGCAGAAGGCCCTTCACTTTTTGGAAGAGGGGACGAGTGAGGCGGGATAAATGACATGGGGTGCAGAGTTTTGGCCTATGTCGACCAGTGGATTGTCGACTGACTCCTTTTCACATATTTTCTACACATGCAGCCCTCAGACTCTTGATCCGTATATAACTTTTTAATCGGATCGGCGTCAGCTGGTCCGTGGGCTGCGTGCACATCTTCGAGCTCTTTTCTAGCAGGTATTCTCTGTCTCTTTCGTCAGGTTGGCCGAGATCAAGTGGCCCAGTGTGGTGTCAGCCGCACTTTCTGGACGTCAGAGAGAGCCTCGTCATCGCTCGGACGTCCACTCCCCGCGTATGTTTCGGCATCGTGCGCGTATGTTTTCGCAAGATGACCGACATAGGGCTGCGAGATCTCTACATATCCACTGCTTCCTGGGCAGGCCCATCCTGAACTCAGCAGCTGCGTATACGCCCTTCTTGCCAAGCCAGGAGGGCGTCGCGCACACACCGCTGCCCGGTTCTGGATGGGCGTGGTCAGGGAGCAGTGACTTGTTTGTACAGATCTCGTCGCCCTACAAAATGCTCGTCAGTGGTCCTTGCCGAGGAAACGGAGGCACACGTCCAAGCGATGCCGAGGAGCGCGCCCGAGCCTTTCTGTGTCAAGCGCCTGCCTCCGTCGAGAGAGGATGGGGCGGGCGCAGGCAGCGCATTTTCGAAGCGGAAAATGCCGTCGGGGATGTTCGGCCCCCATTGAGGAGAGGGATGAGGAGGAGGAAAAAGAAGAAGAACAGGAGGAGGGGGAGGAGGAGAAGCAGGAGGAGGAAGAGGAGGAGGAGGAGGTCGAGGAGGAAGAGGAGGAGGAGGAGGAGGAGGAGGAGGAGGAGAGGAAGGAGGAGGAGGAGGCGGAGGAGGAGGAGGAGGAGAGGGAGTTCGGTTCCCGTGGGCGAAGGCGGGATATAGGGCAAGGGCGAGTTACGACTGCTGCTGCGTGCAGCTGATCTAGCCAGCAAGACAGTATGGGCGGCCCCATGAGTTGCCACAGGAATGAGAGGGTTACGACAACTGCTGCGTGCTGCTGCGTGCAGCTGATTTCGTCCCCGCCGCTGGCCGCGTGCCTCGGCGCATGGTCGCACTCGGCGCCACGAGGTGCTGGGAAATTCAGCCACGTGAGCTGTTTCGCGAGCCCCAATTCGCTATCCACCCCTTTGCGTCCGCGTCTGACCCGACCTTCACCCCGTCCTCCCTCTAACAAGAACGTAATACATGAACGTTAACCTGCGGAGGTCTGCTCAGATGTCTTGGGCTGGCGCAGGAGCGCCCTGGGGTATCAGACCCGATCGAATGTATCCTCCCAAACATTGATGTCTCTATGTTAGTTCCTTCTTCCATCTTCCCTCCCCATACCCCCCTTCCCCGAGAGGGAGTGGACGTTCGCCCTCTCCGTGGTCATGGGTGTGCCCACGAGATTCTCAGGGCCATGCCAGCTGTCCCTCCAGCGCCCGCGAACGCGATCTATTTGGCCGGTGTTCTGGGCCGCCCTCGGGGGAGAAGATGGGGAGGAAGAGGAGGAGGAGGAGGAGGAGGAGGAGGAGGAGGAGGAGGAGGAGGAGGAGGAAGAAGACGAGGATCAGAACGAGGACCAGGAGTGGCAGTGGCAGTGGGGAGGACAAGGCGGAGTAGGCCGATGAGGGCGGGGAGTACGGGAGGGGGAGGACGAGGGGGATGGGGAGGAGTAGGAGGAGGAGGAGGAGGAGGAGGAGAGGACAAGGAGGAGAAGGAGGAGGAGGCGGAGTGGGAGCGGGAGCGGGAGCGGGAGCGGGAGGGGGAGCGGGAGCGGATGTGGGAGGAGGAATAGAGGAGCAAACGAGGACGAAGTCGCAGTTATGCGTTCCCGCAGTTGGCCAAGCCTCCATTCCTACCGTCTGATCCATCTGCCTTCAATCAACCACCCCCTCCACTTGGTGCTTCCCCTCCCCCTCCACATGCTCATTCTCATCCGCATCCCTACTCGTTGCCCGTCTCGGTCCCGCGGGAGTCCCGCCACTTCTGCCGCCTCGTCCCGATCCTTCGCCGCCGTCCGATCCACCAATGGCCCTTCTTCTACGAAATGAGGCGCGCCCTAGTACGCTGTAGGTTCGTTTTGCGTCGACCGGCGGCAATCCCGCCAGTCGCGTTCAACGTTGAACGCCGCGTGCGACCCAGAATCGTTCGATGTGGAACGATTTTGGACGTTTGGGAAACGGCCGATCGTTCAAGGTTGAACGAGTGCCTAGCAGGAAGAGGGCGAGGTGGCGCGAGGAGGAGGTGGCACGAGGAGGAGGAGGAGGGAGAGGAGGAGGGAGAGGAGGAGGGAGAGGAGGAGGAGGAGGAGCAGGAGGAGGAGGAGGAGGTGGCACGAGGAGGAGGAGGAGGAGGAGGAGGAGGAGGAAGAGGAGGGACCAGGAGGGAGGGAGCAGGGTGGAGAGAGCAGATATGCTGGAGGATGGGGGCGGCGCAGGGAGGAGGGAGGGAGTGGAGAGAGGGAGGAGGAAAGAGGGAGGGAGGGAGGGACAGGGAGGAAGGGGAGGGAGAGGAGGGAGGGAGGGACAGAGGGAGGGGGGAGGGGAGGGGGAGGAGGAGGAGGAGGAGGAGGAGGAGGAGGAGGAGGAGGAGAAGGAGGAGGAAAGAGGAGGAACGAGGAGGGCAGTGAAAGAGGGAGTGAAGAGGAGGAGGAAAGAGGAGGAAGAGGGGGTGAAAGGGGGGAGGGAGGGAGGGGGGAGGGGAGAGGAGGAGAGGAGGAGGAGGAGGAGGAGGAGGAGGAGGAGGAGGAGGAGGAGGAAAGAGGAGGGCAGAAGCGGAGGGAGAATCGGGAGTAGGGCCGCCGCGCGACCATGGGGACGTGGCCGCTGGCCCTCTCCGAGGACGCCGCCTCGCCACGCCTCGGAGCTGGGGCGGGGCCCAGGGAGCGCGAGCACGCTGGAAGCCCCGGCCTCAAAGCCTGGCGAGGCGTGGCACGACGGGGGGGGAGGGAGGGCAGGGAGGGAGGGAGGGAGGCAAGGGGGGGAGGGAGGGAAGGGAAGGGAGGGAGGGAGGGAGGGAGGGAGGGAGGGGAGGGAGGGGGGAGAGGGAAGGAAGGAGGGAAGGGGGGGAGGGAGGGGGAGGGAGGGGGAGGGAGGGCGGGGGAGGGGGGGAGTAAGGGAGGGAGGGAGGGAGGATCGGGGACACGTGAGACCCGAGGAAAGTAGGGATGGCGGGGAGGGGATGGGGGGGAGGGAGCGCGAGCACGCCGAACGCCTGGGCCTCGAAGCCCGGCGAGGTGTGGCACGAGTGGGGGATGTGGGGGATGATCGAAACGGGTACGGTAATCATGGGTGCGATGCCCAACAGCAGTTCCTGTCAGAGGCGTTATTTTTTCCACTACTACTTTAAAGAAATTGTGGGAGGAAAAAGAAGCACGATGTCCGCCTGGGCCCCCGTCGAAGGAGCGGAAATGCGAGCGCAATGGCGCGCGCGGACACGCGCGACCCGCCGCTGGTAACAACGTGAATGCGCGGGCGTCGCAGCGACGACGGCGACGGCGACGGCGACGGCGGCGTCGGCGCCGACGGCGATGACGACGGCGGCAACGGCGACGGCGGCGACGACGAACGTCGCGGCGACGGTGGCGACAGGTCCCGGGTCCACGGGCGAACTTGCGCCCCGCCCTCGTTCTTGGAGTCCCGCGCCAGATTTTATGGGAGGAGCCAAATGTATGCGCGCAGTTTTGCCCCAGCCGTCTCTCCGCTTTACTAAAGCTCTCTTTTTGCTTTAGTGCGCCGTCGTTTGTTCGGAATGGATTAGATCGCCTTTATTAAAGCCGTTTTCTCGCTTTGGTCAAGTAGTTTCCCTGCTTTTGTGAAGCCACTTCCTCGCTTTAATGAAGCCGCTTCTTCGCTTGAGTAAAGGCCGCGGTCTGCCTTAGTAGAGCCCTGGGGGGGCGGGGCCAGGGCCCGGTCGGGGGGCGAGGGGGTCCTGTCTTCCCTGCCAGTTCACCCTGCGATGAATTTGCTCGAGTAACCAGGGTCGCGTTGCATCGGTTCGCGGCGATCCTTGGGCATTTTTTCAGCGAGTCGTAGGTGCTCCTTGACAGGAGATTCAGGGCGCGAGCGCAGGACGTGGCTCGGCAATTCGGACGCGCCGCCGCGGTTGTCACGCAAGAGAGCAACAACACTTTACTGAAAGGCTCGTTTCCTTCTGAGCCAATAGCTCCTTAAACGTAATAGTGTGAATTTTCCGCTTCCAATATTGTTCATTTTGAACCGGACCCGCTGCCCGCGCCGCCGCGGACGTTGTTCAGTGAAATCAAAAAACAACCTGCCCAGCAGCGGCAGCTGTCGGCTTTGGACAACGTGTGTAGTTGAGCATTGTGCCCCTTGTTTTTCTACCTGTATCGGGCGTCCAAACGGGGGGGGCGGTGAGGAGGGATGATCCGGGAAACGTGACACCCGAGGAAGGAAGTAGGGCGGGGTGGGGAGGGGGGGAGGGGATGGGGAGGGAGGGAAGGGGACCGGGGCAACGTCAGACCCGAGTTCGCCTGAACTCGGGTTTTCCGAGGCGCGGCGCGAGGGGGTGGGGAACCTGGGCCTCCCATGTGGGGTCCGAGTAGATGGGGTCAGAGGATCGCGCCGCATCGCCGATGCATCGGCGATGCGGTTCGATTTGGAGCACGGTTTTCTCCACGCTGGC